GTAATGTACTGTTGTTGGGTTTGTTAGTGTTAATTTTGTTCGTGAGCTGAGTTTTATTGTGGGGAATGTTGGAGAGTTTTTCAACTATAGCTGGTGGGAATTTATTGGTGTGGATTAAAGGAATGCTTTATGTGGTTAATTTCTTTGTTTATGTAGTCTGTTGAACAGAGTCTTGTGGCTGTGTTTATGAGGTTTTTAAGTGTATTGATTTTTTTGTGTAATGTCATGAGCGGAATTCCAAATAAAAATAAAGATCGTCAGTAATTAAATTATCTTTTTTCATTTGTAATAAAGTTCTGTTTAATTGTTTTTCGTGTGTGTGTGTGTGTGTTCTTGCTGTGAATTTTGGTTTTAAACTGTGTTTCCGAACTAATAATTTTGAGGTTAAGAAAATATAACTGTTTATCATTTTTGTGTTCTATGGTAAATTTGATGTTGGGATGAATGGAATTTATGTGTTTAAAGAAAGTTAGTGTGTGTTCTGTAGATGTGAAACCAGCAAAAGTGTCATCGACATATCTGTACCAGTATAGTGGGGGATAAAGTGCAGAATGTATGGATTGTGTTTCGATCTGGGTCATAAATATATTGGCAAGAATGGGCAAAACAGGATTGCCAATACTTGAACCATCTATTTGTTGAAAATGAAATTGGTTTTAGTCATTTTAAATTCTAAGAGAGAAGCAAAAAGTGTACTGGGGATGTGCATTAACTTATTGGGGTCATTAATGTAGAGGTTGAGTGCAATATTGCAAGCTTTATTGGCGGGGACTTTGGTGAAGAGTGATACGACATCAGAACTAGCCATTAAGGATTTCGAATTTAGTTGTTCTAGTGTATATTTGAAATTGAAGACATCTTTAAAAAATGAACCTGCAGATGTTACATATGGTGTGAGAGCCCAAGCTATGTATTTGCCAAGATTGTAGTTGAATGAATCATAAGTGGACAGTATAGGTCTTAGGGGGCAGTCCTGTTTGTGTGGTTTAAGAATGCCATAGAGTTGTGGTGTGCATGAATCAGTTTTACGTAGATAAAAATAAAGATCGTCAGTAATTAAATTATCTTTTTTCAATTGTAATAAAGTTCTGTTTAATTGTTTTTCGTGTGTGTTTGTTGGGTTGTTTGGGATGGCTTTGAATTTCTTTTTATCTGAAAGGATGTCGTTCATTTTGTCGATGTATTCAGGTATTATCCAAAACATGCGGATGTAATGGCACACGACAAGACACAGATTTGGCAAGTAATGCTGTTTGAGTACAAGAAGGGAAACAACACCTCTGTAGCCACAAAGAATATCAAAGAAGTTTATGAAAATGTTTTGAACATTCGTAAGCCAACGATGGTTCAGCAAATTTCATTCAAGTGACTTTAGCCTCAAAAACTGATGACAGGGGCCAACATGTTGGAATTGATATTGATGCTCAGAAGATGCTTGTTGAGTCTAACCCAAGGCAACACACTTGTGAAATGGCCATGAAATTGCATGCCTTTCATGAAACGATACATAAATATCTAAGGAATATGGGAAAACTCCATAAAGAAGGTGTTTCGGTGCCTCTCGAACTCTCCGATGATCATCGTTTCGAACGTGTGAATGTTGCTTTATCTCTTCTGGCGAGTGAACCATTTTTGGAGAGAATTGTGACAGTTGATGAAAAATGGATTCTCTATGCGAATATTAAATGCAAAAAACAGTGGCTCAGTCCTAGACAAAAACCACTTCCAATCCCAAAACCTGGACTCCAGCCGCAGAAAGTCATTTTTGACATTTGGTAGGACATCAAAGGAGTAATTTATTTTGAACTCCTCAATTCACAGTGAAATGTCAATGTAGAGATTTATAGTTGGCAACTGGAACATTTAAATCAAGCCCTTCACTCGTCAAATGGAAAGGTGTTTTTCTTCACAAAAATGCATGTCCACATGTGGCACGTTTGACGCAACACAGGAGTTGGGTTGGGAAGTTCTCCCCCACCCACCATATTCTCCAGATATGGCACTATCAGATTACCAAACGTATGCAAATGTGGAAGGTGTTAAAGAGGACATCAAAAATGTTTTTTTGCTTCAAAGCCAAGTGATTTCTTTAATCAGGGCATTAACAACCTGATTGTAAGATGGAAAAGCATCTTCGATATGAATGGAGACTATTTCATTTAATAAGTGTTTTGTTTTGATATGTAAGTTGTTCGAGTTTCTTTCATCTAAAAAAAAGCGATATTAATTTCTTGACGACCTAATACTTTGTTAGTCAAAATTTTTTAGGAGTATTTCTTCAGGAATGCTTCTCATTTTAGTTACAGAATATATATACATGGGTGTCTGCAGATGTATTGCAGAGGAGGGGGAGAAATGACAATATGATTTCAAAGCTATGACGAGGGAAACACAAATTTTATAATTGGGGGAGGCACTTCCCCACACATAGACACCCATATGTGTCTACCAAATACAGTAGTGTTAACTTAATTACAAACATATACACATTTTGTACAGGTGCAAAATAACAAGTTCTTGAAAAGTTTTTAAGGATGACTTCAGAACTAAAAAGTCATTTGTAGCACTTGTTGAACAATCATTTGACAAAAAAAAAACTGATGAAATTGCACAGTTGGGATTATAATATTTGTACCATCATACATTAAAGACATGTATGTAAGATTTGGTACTTTCTCTTCATGAAACATACAGCATCAAACTGAGGAACACCAGTGTTCTTTATACACTGCATAATCTTGTTTGCACTTAAGCTTCCTGAATTGGATGTTTGTTTATTAAGTTAAGATTTATTTAACTTTACAGTTGTGAGCCTCAAACATATTAAGATGATTTTAATAGGACCAAAAATATGAAATATATAAAGCTTTTTTAGAGGTAAAAATTATAAATGTTCTTATTAATTAATGTTGAGACATCCTAGTTTTTCTTAGAGTTCTAATTTCTAATATGTTATGCTTTCACAGGATAAGGATTCCAAATTCAGACTGATTTTAGTTGAAAGCAGAATTCACAGATTAGCTCGTTACTACAAGAGTAAAAGAATCCTTCCACCTAACTGGAAGTAGTAAGTACTGGTCTATGATTGTATATTTTTTCTTCAGAGAAAATTGGATCAGTTGTGCAGATCCTGAGTTAGTATCTTAAGAAAGTTTACAGTTATACCGATTTCCTTTATACCCTTGTTTCTCTTTTATTTGACTATGTATGGAAAGACACCAATTTTTGTCATTGTTACAAAGATTTGCTAGTGCAAATCACCTGTATATGTTAAAATGATTTTATAGTGAATTCACTCTCATAAGTATTGCAGAAAGAAAAGGGCTAGCAATTTGGTACACAATAAGAATTACAAGGTTTGAACATTGGAATATAGATGGATTAGAGAACACCTGATTACGTTAAATTTGACTTGATCCTTATCTGACTGATTAGTTTATTATTCCAATGATCTCTTAGCCAGATGACCTGTATTATATAAACTTCTGTTCCACATTAGTTGTCAAGTAGCATGGGACAGATTGTAGTAGATCAGTTAATAGGTGCTTTAGTGACAAAGTACACAACTTTTTTGTTTTGAAAAAGGAACATTGCCAAAGGTTAAGTTTCATCAGGTAATGTAAAAGTGGCTGGATGATCATATAGAATAAACACCAACACCATGCTTTATGTCAAATTTCCATGAGGAATGAAACTTAATTTCTCAGCTTACTTTAAGAACTTACAGATGCTTAACAATAAAGAATTAACGCAGTTCTAACAGCCAAAGGTGAAACCAACCACATGTTAAACCACTTTCACTAGTTTTTCTAATTTTTTGTCCAACCCTTGTACATAGTATTTTGTTAATACCTAATTTTATTAACTTCTTTGACCTTGAAAATGTTTGTCTTCGTTTCTAGACCATCACAAACATGCATACGAAAACACGATTTCTGACTTATATCAGGCTTTGAAGTGTTTTATTGCAAAAAAAGTTTAAATAATAATTTTTACCACTGTTTAGTGTAATTTTTCTCATAAAGCAAATATTGATTTACTAGTCTATATAATACAGATATCAGGTTTTGTGACAAGTGATTGTAGGTTATGAAGTATAGTAAATCTTTAAGTACTGAATTTGTTTCCCCCTTACAGTGAATCTTCTACTGCATCAGCTATGGTGGCGTAAAGAAAGACATCTATGAATTATCTTTGTACACTTCTAAAAAAAAAAGTCTAATAAAAATTAACATCAAAATGTTCATGTATTATGTTATTACACAAATATAAACTGATGAAAGCCTTAAGTAGCATTAATCTTTTAAATTAAATATTTACCACAACAGAAATATACAGATCTTTCTAACATGAGTGAAATTATATATATATATATATATTAAAAGTAGTTTTGACTACAAGAACTGCCTATTTGTTTTATGTTGAATCCCAAGGTAAAGAACTAAAAAAAACAAAAAATAGCCTATAAATAATTAAAGTTTACTCTGTATATTGGTATCTTAGTTCTGGGGATTAAGTAATGCAAGAGAACTCGTGTGGTTAGTTCTTGCGTAATTATTTATAATTTTCATCTTTAAGTTAAAATATTAGTAATTCAAATACTATAAGAAAATGCTTAAACTTTTATCCTACAGTTTAAAAATGGAATTTATTATAGAGTTGAAAAAGAAACTTTTAAAGAATATTTTACAATACAAAATTTGAAGAACTCTTTTATTGTGAAAAGTGAAATTAAGTTTTCATCATCTGAAGACAGTTGAAAAATATGCATTTCTTAACTAAACAGAAACATTATTGTCAAGAAAAAAATATTTTCAAAACATATATATATATATATATATAAAAAGAACTTACATTTTGATTGGTACATGTCATTAACGTATGTATATAAAATCGGCAACAAAATGTAACATTTTGATCATCTTTGCCTGTCATATTATAATATCTCACTCAACATGGTCATCCTAATGTGATATTGAAACAGTATGGTATAAAACGTGTGGTGACAATGATCATCTACCCCAGAAACATGCCATATTGCTAGTTGTGCACTTAAGCAACTACAAGTTTAGGGCAATCAATGTTATCATGACCATAGGGGAGATTTCCACAGGATTAACTCTGTGGTGACTTAATTTAGATTGAACAGGTTATATTTTTTATGGATAATAATTGTAACATAGGTAATATATTCAATGTTAACAACACTAATTATTTTAAATAAATTACTGTCATGTTATACATGAATATATTATTCAGAATTATATGTTGAATACTGAGCAGATCCAAGAGTGGACACTTGTGAACTAAATATTTTGTAAAAAAGAGCTTTGAACAGTTGGTTTTATCACTCATCAATGTTTTACAAACTGATACAACAGAACTTGGGGAATTATGAGGAAAGACACTGTATTGGGTTGGCAAATAGTCTTCTTACATATCATGACACACTACAGTGTCTTGTGGTAAAAAAAACAATCTGCAGAGTGACACTGTGTGTTATTAACAGTTGTGATAGTATAGCGATTTTTCACTTTCTGTACCTCAGACTGTGGTAATACAAACTATTGCATATATTCTGTGGATATGCTCTAATGGACTCTTACTTCACCTACCAAATTTCAAGGAATCCATTAGGAATTACCTAAGACATAACATTTCCAATTTGGATTGAGTTTCTTCCTTTTTTTTCTTTGCACCAAAAGTAGAAAAACATAAACTTTTATGGATTTTTTTTCAAACTTGGTACACAGGTAGATCTTTACAACCTACAATTAGAAGTCTCACTTGATGTAAATATAAGCCACATGTGCAATGTTATTTATCAACAATTTTTGCTACAGCTTCACCCAAGAGTAAAAGTGGACCATTTTTAGTCATTTGGATTAAAGACAGCTGATTTAGACCAGCAAAACTAAGGTAAAAGGACATGCAGATACACAATTATAAGTTAGGTCAAGCAAACTGGATTAGCAGTTTCTAGCTCAAGTTTTGAAAATAATTATACGGGTGGATAATTATTATTGATTATTCATTACCAATTTCTCAGCACAAATTTACTAAATTTTATGAAATTATCCTAAATAAAGAGTATTTAGTGTCATATGATATTAACTTAAGCAATTAGCATAAATAATGATGCTTGATACGGCTGTACCGATTGCAAGGATGATGACAAGAAACTGTTAATCTAAATTCCATGGCGTTAGTATAAAGGAAACTATTAACACTGTTTTAGCCTAGTTAACTAGGCTGCATATTTTATTTTACCCACCATCATGCCCAAAGTTGAACAAAAAATGATGAATATTTGCTGTAAAATTCTTATCTATGCTATAAGTGTAGCTATCAGTTTGGCCACCAATTTTGATTTCATTCTCTTAAGTCACACACTGAATACTTTTTTCACATCTGAGGTGAATTTGATTAGATTTACATATATTGACACAGATTAACAAAGGTTCAGTTAATAATTCAAAATGTCTTGTCTGTTGGCCTTCAATTCCATCATGTAGGATGATACGTCTCTTTGTGCGATGTAACACTTTCAACAATTTATTTGTTTCAAAGCATTGGTTGTTTCATAAAAAACTTCATTACTAAAATGCAAAAACTAAATTGTCAACATGAACTTTAAATGGATGGGCAGAATTTATGCTCACACTGTACTTAACAGGAATCATTAAGAGATGTCAGCTTACCCAAGTCTTTATTGCTCAATTGGCTAAGATATGATAACTATATTCTACAGACAATACAACTGGCAGTAGAAAAAACATTTAACAGATGTGATGACCACCTAGAAAAATAACTCATTTACTACAGATACTGGTTCATACCACGAACAGCATTCTCTCTAAAAGTGTGGAAGCTGTAGTTATACGTAATTAAGTAACTTTGGAAAACAAACTTAATGAAGCGTATCTGAATGTGAAAGTGTGTAAAAGTAATATATATTAATTTGAGAGAAAACATTTTTGGAACAAAATATTATCTTTACACATATTGGACCATTTATGTGCAGAATCTTAACTAAAGATAATACAGAATTACATTGCGAAATAGAAGTCATAAAACTACTTCAAATTTACATATTGTTCTGTTTGTAAAGTGGGTTTGTATTATTATGATCTTACATTTAATTACTTAGCTTACACTCCATTTTTTGGGAAATAAAATTTAATATGGCCACACATTATGACATGTTTCGAAAAAAAAAAGTGGGTTTCTTGGTTTATTAATAATAGGTTTTACTAAATCACAACCTTTGTTGACAAATATTTATACAATACACGACTGCAGCAGGTTCAAATGCTAGCTCCTGCTACAACATACATTCCCTTTCAAGTTCCCCCTCCTCCCAGAAAAAAAAAGTTTAGCAGTCCAAATTTATGAAAATAATATAATTGGCCATTAGTGACCTAGAAGTTGCTAATTTACTAAATTAGCCATAGGTAATCATATAAGCTACTAACCATCCCAATAACTGTATCTGATCATCATAACCTTATCATGAGTACCATTTGTATACATAAATTTTGGTTATGTATTGACCATGTTGATAATTCTTTGATTTCCCTGCTTTTTATTTTGGCTTGATGGACTAGGTTTTGGACTTTTTGTGGAGTCCTTTTACAAAATGTTATCCAGCAAGGAAAAGATGGCTGTAAAAATCTTGTAAACATATAGCAAAAAGTTTGAAACTGAACCATTTCCTTAATAATGCATTACATTTGAAAACTGAATCTTATTTTCACCATCATCATTATTAATTGTCTCCTTATTCCAGAAAAACTTGTGGGAAATTACTATATACCAAAAGTTACAAATACTTTAAGCTAACAACTGTAATATTTAATAAAAAACAAAAAAAGTTCACTTATCATTCTGTCATTTGACACTATTACTAAAACAATTCAAATAAAATATGCCAAGGTCCCGTAACACAACAACACTGCACCCCTTTTACAATAAACAGAATAATATTACATTATCCTTATTAAAACTATATTTGTGCTTTGACTAAGTTGTTTTAATTTTTTTTATGTACACTGTTCCCAATTAAAAATATATTTTAGATGGAGTACTGTATTGTTTACATGCACGTTAATGAACATAAAGAGCTCACATATGTATTTGGTATTTAGTCTGAATGACCCTTGTCTGACAAATGAGCTAAATGCTTACATAAATATCCTAATCTAGAACTATTGACTAGAGGGAAAGTAACCAGTCAACAGCATCAACTGTTTACATGCTATTCTTAGTGAAACAGTAGGATTAACTGTCAATTTTATGACATGAAAACAACTAAAAGTGCAAAGCACAGGCTGAAACCATGGGCTCTCCAATCCAAAGTCTGGCACACTAACCACTCTGTCACACCCGGCTTAAATAACTAATTTAATTTTAACACACAATTCTCCCAAACTCTTACATACAAATAATAATATTTTAGTCTTCATACAATGCTTTAAGAATACATTTACCCATAAAAATATCCTAGATATATAGTATTTAACCCCCCCCCCCCATTTTATAAAATCAAATATACTCGTATAGCTTGTTTATTAGAAACTGGCAGATTTGTTCAAGATTTAAAAAATTACACAATTTTGTTTTACACAAATCATTTGGGCAAACAAGCCTTTATTTAATAAGTACTTTCTTGAAAGAATACAGATACAGAAACCTGTTATGAACCAATGGCAACATTAAACTTTCAATTAGCTCCATGGTAATATTTGGATTATTTAGAGACTTAGCATGAAATGAAAGTAATTTCTTTTAACACCAGCTGTATGGGAAATACTTGTGGAATGTGGTTTACTGTCGAATGGGAAATAGAAATCAACAGACGGAAAAAACTATTGGATAGGTTTGTGGTCCACTTGAAGGGTTTTCATATCTTGTAGTGTGTTTGAAGGCTTGAAGTCATGATGACTTGTGTTATAAAGACTTCTTGGAGATAAGACATTCAGTATTAAATACAAATTCAATGATCCAAGCATGGACAATGAAGAGCAACCTGTTAACTGCCACAAAAACTGGGAAGAGCCAAGGCTTTCAGACTATACTGGTACAATTGGGTATCATCATCTCAGATGCATGCATGCCTCTGCTGGGCAAGCCTATAGGCATCAACAAACAAAAGAAAAAAAAAAGAAGACACATTCGATATCTGTCAGGTAAGTTACAGTTTTTAGACAAAAAAAAACACCATAAACATCAGTGAAACTATCAAGGAAATTACCTACATGAAACAATGTATTCCAATAAAAAAAAACGATAATGTAAAACAAACATGTCTTAAAGAAATTCAAGTAGTTTAGTAATTCTAGCAGACTTTGTGTGAAAAAACAAGAGAAATTATTACACATGACCTTATCCCTTTCTCTCTTAGCAATATTGTGTATTACCTCACAAAAAAAAACATACATATTTGGTAATTATGCACAAAAATGAAATTCATAGTAACATTTTGCAACCATATAAAATTTCTCTTCAGATGATACCACTGGAAAAGCTAAAAGTATTATAGTAGTTTCTCTTATCGGGTTTATCTGCTTAAATTAAAAATTTAAACCAAATGACATCTCCAGAACTTCAGTCATTATTAGTTTCTTGAATAAAACTATTAAACTGAATGTTAAGATGGACACCTTTCTAAAAAATAAATAAATAAACTTATAAATTTGAAATTAGTATCTACTTTTGTTTGAAAAGGGCCTATAGTGTTTTTCAATAAAAATATACTCTGATCATTGGAAAATTCATTTCAATTTTTAATTTAAATTCAAAACCATCAGAAATTATGAATGCAACAATAACAACCGAGCATTACATTAGACAGTAAAAAAAAAGGATATCCATTTTGTTAAAACTTCCATGAAAATCTGTAACTAACACCTTTGTCTGAATTAACTTCATCAAAACATAAAACATTTTTTCATACAAAGCAATTAAAAACTACAATTTGTGTAATATCAACTTTGATCCACAAAACGATTATATATATATTCTTGTTTTAATTATAAGTAAAAATTAACATTGTATACCCAAGTAAATAGTTTTGTCTTACCAAATGTATTTTTAAATTTAGATTTCTTTGTTACATTTTACACAAGTGTTATGAATTATTGCATGATTATAAAATCACCTTTAAAAATTTTAATCATATTTCCCAACAATGCAGTTAAAGATTTGGGTGCCAATTATAAAATTAATTATTGTTTAAATACTTACTTTCTTATTAATAACAGATGGGTATTTATAAATTAAAAATATGAATATGGAATAAGAACCTTCTGTGAAAAAAGTCAGTATTGTCTAGGCATGATACACAAATTTATTATATACTTAATACTCTAAACTGTAAATGTAGATTACTGTAAATTCAGAGTAACATCTTGACAAACAACATTTCCTCAGGACATAATACTAAATATATTAATAATTTTTGATTGCAGTTAAAACTGAAGAACAGGACCTTCTAAACATAACAGGTATGAATCGGAGATATACATATATATAACAACACAGAAAAGTCACTTTCAGTGTTTTGGGCTGAACTATGATATTCACAAAACATACAACAAAAGTTTACCTTAAGCTAACAAAGCATGAAGATTGTTTGCAACCACGATGTGTTATGAAATACATCAGTTATTAGCTCAAGCTCTGACAGTACTGCTATATTCAACTACTGGTTTAATTTTGACAGAAAAAACTAAATACACATAGATAGATATATAGATAATACACCACACAAATCTCAATGTGTATATTAAAGTCATGAAAATGTCAAATAAATACATACAGGTCTCCAAAATTAATTAACATTAAATGGTGCTCTATAAACCAGCCACGATAAAACCCAGATATTACCTCTAAGAACTTCCATATCTAGTTTTAGAGAAGCCTAATATGTAAAAAAATTTAAAAGCTGTTAGAGCAAAATGTTAAATCAAAACTTGGGATTTGCTCTCTTCACAAATTTAAAATCCTTAAACATTTAACTACGTTTAAACTAGCCAATATTTTATGTACATACTATTGAAATATTCACCACTTAATGTACTTAACCAATGAATGCATATCAAACATACTTATAAAATTACTAAAAAGACCAATTAGAAAAGCACTTCCTCAAAAACAACAAAATCTCCTCCTCTGAAAGATCTGAAGAACATCACCTGTTTTGATGAAGAAGCTTGGGAATTTTAAAGATAACTTATAGCTTCACAAAAAATATCCAGTTCAGACACACACATTTAATGTTAAAGTACAACTAAAAAAACAAAGCATGCATAGTTCCTAAAATATTTTAAAAATAATACAGTTGGTTGAAAAAAAAAGAACCTTAATTGTTTTGTGGCATAAAAGTTGAGTGCTTGCTTTGTTCATATAATTAACTTGTAACTTAAAGTTCACACAGTTTTACAATTTACCTCAAAGATTTTGGTTCCTGAAGCGCTTAAAATTTTAACAGTAAGAAAACACAATCTATCATATTAAAATAATCATGATACTTAAATACTGATCAAGCAATAAAAGCACTGTGACACACAATAAAAACAAATTAACACAGCCAGACAAAAAATACTATACTTGTTCAATGTATCTTTCATGATAAATATTCATATACAGCCATGTCATGTAAACTATAACACCTAACAACATTTCACACTCAATCATAACAGTTGAGACTGAACAATTTAATATTTCAGTGTTAATTTTATAGTTGTTAATAACATTAACACACGTTATATTGTTTTTATCTAGCATAACAATTAATCTAGCTTGTTTCAATTTATTTATATAATTAGATATAGCTTTGATTTACCACTGATGAAAACTGCTTAGGTTTCTTCAATTTTGACTTGCACAATATTCAATAACTGTCTTCCAAATGTTAATGATCGTAAAAAGAAAACATCTAGTGGTCTTGTAAAACTGAAGAATTATATTTTGCAAAACATTATTTTAAAAAAAAATAAAACATTTTTAAAAAAAAGAAGAGTTTAACTGTTAATTTTTAGGGAGGAATCTTACATTGCTTTATTTTGTTACTACACTGCAAAATATGAATATTTTGTGTTAAGTTTAGAGTTGATAGGAGAAACCTTAAAGCCTACAGTTATATGATAATTGTGTGACTAATACGGATTCTATACTTTTCCAGTTTTTTTTATTAGAAAAAAAAGGAAGATACTGATTTTAGATTACAGAATTTGTCTAAATGATCAAGCAGAATGATCCCAGAGAAATATTAGTGTAAGCCAGTAGAAATAAGAAAAAGCTGTAAAAGTCTGTAAATCTTATTTTTCAACTCATAAAATATGCTTGTATCAATTATTTAGATTATAACTGTTCAAAGCAGTAAAAACAAAACAAAAAGTTTATATCTAAATTCTATCTAATCAGCAAACAGTTTTAAAATACCAATACAAAGTTTAATTAAACTACACTTTTAAGTAATTTTGCAGTACTGCTAGTCATAAGCCTTCATTTAAAGTCCACATACATAAAAAAGTACAATCACACAATGTAAAAAAATAGTAAGTACAATAATTTATTATAAGAATGGATAATTATATAAATCCAAGCATAATAAACATCTTAATAATTAATTTTTTTAATAGAATCGAGTAACTCTAAATTAGAACATTTGCAAACCATTTGAACCCAGACATTTAGCTCTTTCCATACAACCAAGTAATGTATACGTTGGACTTTTTACAGTGTTACGTTCAAAATTTAATTAAACAACTTTATTGTCAATGTATTTGAATAAACTGGGCATAAAAACATAGGTAACAAAAATTTAAGGTGTAAACTAAGTTTGACTTCTTAATTTTAAAAAAATATTTGAAAAATCTAAAACTTCATTTTTTGTGTCCCAATTTCTCCACTTCAGAATTTCCAGGTTTCTAAAATAGGCTGATACATTTCCAACCAATTAGAAAATAAACTTATAATCTAAAATTTGAACCTCCTAACTTTTTATTTACTGAGATATCAATAAATTTGTCTAATCCAGCAACAAAGCTCCTCCTTTCTCTGAATTTTCAGATTGTTTGCTAATTAACTTTACATAGCTGATGAACATGTTTATAACCAATATAAAAAGCAGATTCTCCTCTGCATAAGTCTTACTATTATGTGTTCAATTATCCTTGTCAGCAACAGTTGCTTGGTTTCTCTTGGAATTTTGACATATTTATAGCTTACTTAATAAATCCAAATACAGTAGTTTTGGGAAATTCTCTTCAAATGCCCAATATATTTTTTATGTCCTAAAATTCATATTTGAAAGCTATATGAATATTTTTTGAGTCACTCAAATTTGCAAAACTCAACTAGGCTTAAGTATGAGCATAAAAATTTTTTACCTGAGTACAAAGAGTACTAGAAATCCTTGTGCTTTTACGTATTTTGTTATTTACCATTATATAATTTTAAACAAAAACATCTAAAACAAAATTTTAAACTTCTCAGCTTAGCCTAAAAAAGTTATAAAAATCTGTAACTATACTAGCTCAAGCTCTAGTTTGAAACATGACATTAGACCATGTGCTGTTAATGTTAGCTAACAGGCTTTAAATATGATTTATTGCTTTTACACAAAGATTACTGCTCCAATGATCCAAAGTATGACAATAAAATCATAAAATGAAAATACAACAATATTAAAAAGGTTAACAATTGAAACTTTAAGTAATTTGGAACTTTCTGATCAATACTGTAGCAGTGCAAAATATTATTTATTTTATTTCATATTTCATTTCATTGTACATTGATATTTATTTAAAGTTAGTGTTACAGTCGAGCAAATAAAAAATAAAATATAAATTTTTACCAAAACAAAACGTTTGATCTTGATTTAGAAGGTTCTAGAGGTTATACAAATTTAATATGAAAACAAGTATTTTTATTCTTAGAATGAAAATCACCTTTCACTCAGACTGACTTAACAAATAATTTGGAAATGTGAAGACAAATCTTAGTACAAATGCTTTATGTAAACATCCGTATTGTTTTCTGTGGGTGCACAATACTTGTGGGTACACATAATATTCACAGTTATAGTATGTATAGTTTCACAGTTCCAAGGTCGGTCAAATCTACA